GCATGACAAATTTCTATATAATTGCATTTGTTGCAGGCTCCAGGCGAGGCCAGCGGCTGCAGAAATAAAAACTAAATGCAATAAAACACAAATAAAAGCAAACTCAACACAATACAATGCCGCATTATTTTTATATGAATTGCCAGCTACTGGCCGCGCATTCCATGCTGCCTATCTGCCTCCTGCCTCCAGTCTTGGTTGGGGTTTGAGCTGGGCTGGTCTGCTCTGTTCTCTGGTCGTCAGGTTGGAGCTCAAGCTCAACTCTAATTGTCATTTAATGAGACACGCTCGGCATTTGGGCACGACACACGACTTTCAATTCGACAATTCGATGCTCGTCTTGCACTTGACAGAGGACGGAGGAGAAACGTGTCCTTCCACTCTCGGCATCCTTCTGTACCCTGACCATCTGTGTAAATTGATTTGTTCAGCAAAAGCAGCTGGAATGCCCCAGCCAAAATAAATAGGTCGGTTAAGGTAGCTGTCGAATTTGTTTAAAAATCTCGCATATTCATTGGAGAGCATTATACTATGCCAAAGTACACTGTGAAAAAACACAGTAGGTTGCGCAAAAGCAGTTCCGTTACTTTTAATGTTCACTAACAGTTCTGTTGCGACGTCACATTTTCAGATTTTGCCGCGTTATCCCGGCTGAAGCTTGGCGGCCACTTCAGCGGAGGTCGGCCAACTGGTCCAAAACAACCAAAATTAAGTATACACAAGAATACAAAGAAAATTTCAATAGCAAATGGCTAAAAAATTGTCTCTCGAAAGCAGCAATGATATGGCCAAGATGGCCAATATGTTTATGCCAGCTGACCTACATATTGAAATATAGTACACGTTGAAGGTGTATCTATAAAGGTGCTGCTCACACCTGCTGTCATCCGTTAGAATGAAATAAAATCGGTGTATTAATTTCCGAATGGAAAACTGAGCATGAGCATAGCTCTTTAGTTTAACATTTCAACGCTTAGATATTAAGTTTAAAGCCATTATATGCAAAAGTATATGTGATCAAGTTCAAGATCAATTATTGCCTAGACAACGGCTTAGAGCATAAAAATTAGCAAGAACCGATTCATGAATCTCTTTAGAGTTTGTGACTAGTCACCTAGCTCGTTTTATGTAGTCTACTAGTTTAAGACAAATAACAGTGTCGAAATTGCTTGCACGCATTATTCTTTGAAATAATGACGTCGCTTTGTATACCTACTATCACTCAATTGTGGCCAAAGTCTAATTTATAAGTCGGTTAAAATACCCAGAATGCAAAGTTAATGCCAAAAATATTTCTTTCTCTCTTGAACATCATTGACATACTAATCACAAATGGAAGTCTCCCTCCTAATAAACTCAATTTATATATATTACCTAGTTTGATGCGATAATTGCTATTATTATAATTACGAACCATGTGAGTCTCATAAATTTGTGATCTGGCTGCGTGTTGACATGACATTAGAACAAGTCAATTTAGCTCGCAATTATTTATAGATCATTCCGCGTGCTTTGTCTGCATTATTTATTGACTAATCAGCCGCTTATCTTACGTTTTTAGTTTTCCCCGTGAAAGAGCTTTTGGCGTAAAGTCATGGAACGACCTCCGTGCTCAAGTAATGTAGCTTTCCACGCAGCCCTCAGTTGCCTCCGTGGCGCAATCGGTTAGCGCGTTCGGCTGTTAACCGAAAGGTTGGTGG